AGGGGCCGCCTATAGAAGCACCGGCCTCAGCTTTGGGAGCAGGGCGACCAGGCCCCCAGCTCGCATGCCGGGCACGGCTTCCCGCAGGCATGTGTTTCCGCTGGCCGATGGGCAGCGTTGCAGACGGATGCCCCGCGTGGCCCGGGGGACCCACGACAGTCCACCGGCCGCCGCTGCAGGCCACCCCCGCAGCTGGCCGAGCATGGCCCCCAACTGCCCGCCACCCAGCGTGCAGAGGGCCGGGCGTCCGGCTGCTCCACTTGGTTGGAGAGGCTGAGGACACTGTTGTGGAGCACTGAGGGGGCCCGGGGGTCCTTGGGCGGGGACAAGCGGTCCTCCCGAGGCTCCTTGGGCAGGTAGAAGGAGTAGCGGACCCGGGGTGGCGTCATCTTCCCCACCGAGAGCACCTCCACCGTCAGGGGCTCCAGGATGGGCCGGGAGGCCTGCAGGCTCTCCACCGCGGTCCCCGTGCCGCTGTAGCGCAGCAGGCTGCCCTTCACCACTAGGTCCCGCTCCACGGCCGACACCACGAAGTGCCCGTTGAGCAGGTACTTGCCTTGGCTGTTCTTCAGGGCCAGATAGTTGTCGTCTCCAATCAGCCCCTTGTAGCCGCGCTGGCGGATGTCAATGCTGGAGGCGCCTGCTGGGATGGCCACCACGAAATTGTAGCCGTGCCTGGGGGTGGAGGGGGCGAGGTCAGACAGGCACCCGGTGTGAGGGCCTCCCTGCCCTCCGATGCCGTGACTCCATGACCTGTATTCTTTCATAAACCCGGGGCAGGCCCCTGCCACAGCCGTGTTCAGGGCTCACACAAACTGAGCGGTAGTGAGACCGTGGCCACACCAGGCACAGCCGGACACACCAGCTGTGTCGCCTCCAGAGCGGGAGGGAGGAAGGGGAAGAGGAAGGGAGATGACAGGGCTGGGGTTCGACGTCTGCAGGGATGTGGCCTGGAGTCGGTGACCTGCACAAAGCCTTGGCTGGGACACTCGCTCCCTGATGTAAGCAAGTCAGCCTCTCCGGGCACTGGTGTTCTCATCTGAGCAAGGAGCAGGCTGAAATGTCTTAGCCCCTTCTGCTTCCACTAGTTCGTGAATGGGACACCTGCCATTCAGCCAGTGAAGCAAGTCTGGGGGGTCTGCCTTAAATTCCCCACTCAGTCTCCCCCACAGGCCCCCTGAGGGACAAGGACAGCCTGCAACAGCCGCAGCGCCTGAGCTCCCAGAGAAGTTGCCAGCGGGGCTCAGCTGAGGGCACTGTGTCTGTGGGCCGGTCAGACAGGGCCCTGGACAGCCATGGAGGCCCTGCTGTCTGTCACCAGCACCTGGGCTCCTAGGTGTCAGAGCTGACCACACTCAACGGAGACAGCAGGGCCCCGCCTGCACACCCCCGCCACCGCCTGCTTCTCCCAAACCTGGGGTCTGGGCTCTCCAGGGGGCGCATCCCCCTGAAAACAAAGGGAACGTGCTGGGCCTCGGAAAGCCTGGAGCCGAGGCTCTGGAGGTGGGAGCAGAAGAGGCACAGAGACACTTCCCCAGCTGCCCCGGCGCCCATCGCCCCGGAAGGGGGTTCCCTCAGCCCCAGCCCCGCTCTACCTTCTCTCACCTCCATCCCGTCCCAAGGCCAGGGCCTGACGCTCAGGAAGGGGGGAGGCGGTCACATTTGTCCCCAGGTGTGTTTTGGTGGGTCACCCTCCTCACGAGCATCCAGTTAGCATTCGTCACACGCCCAGCACTGCGCTAGGCATTTCACTTTAATTAGCTCCCTTAATCCTCGCAACAGCAGGACGTGAAATACGTTAGCACTGAAACCACTTTACAGGTGAGGAAACCTAGAATTCACCTGCCCAGGGTCACCTAGAGAATGAAGAGCTGAGATCTGAATGCAGCTCAGTCTCACCCTAGAGCTCTAGACAGACCCTGACAACCCTGCTGTCTCCCTGAGTGTCATCTCCCGCCCAGCGGGGTCCTACCCGAGCCTCCTCTTCACTCTCGTCTTTGTTGGATGAATGAATGAACATCGTAATCACAGGCGAGCACGGGGTCTGGGCAGGATCTGGCATTTACCCATCTACCCCGAGCTTCCCATGCCTGGGGGCAGCTCCACACACCACCCCACCCCTGTGCCCTGGCTGCGCCCTCCAGGGCACAGGACTCACATGGGCTTGGTGAAGAGTCCGGACACCTTCTTACAGCCCTTATTGTCTCCCCCGCACACCCCGCATTTGTCGAACTTCTTCTTGGAGCCCAGGTTCCCGTCGCAGCCAGCCTTGATGCACTTGCCCTGGACGCAGACCGAGGTGGAGTCGGGGGTACACAGCGTGCCATCCACCACCTGCAGTGGCCCAGGAGGGGGAGAAGAGGAGCAGGGGCAGCTCAGCTCGAGGCTCCCCAGCGACCATGCCCCTGCCCAGGCGTCCCACCCTAGCTCACCCACCTTGGGCGCCAGCACGTAGAAGTAGCCGGTGCCGTTGGCGCGGCAGATGAGCTTGCACTTGTCCCGCGGAGACACGCCCGAGTACTTGGGCACCCAGGCCACGGTCAGGGCCAGCCGGTTGGTGCTGTGGTTGTAGCCGTTGAAGGCCTCACACTGCTCCTCCCGGAAGCTCTTGCCAGAGGCTGGGGGTGGGGGAAGTACGTGTAGGGAGCTGAAGGGCGGGGTGGTGGGGGAGAGGGCAACGGGGAGAGCCCCGCCTACCAGGGCTGCTCAGCACACCCCCTCAATGGCTCCTCCCCCTCCTCAGCCAGTGGCCCTCATCGCAGAAGCCACCCCACCTCAAAGGACTAAAGCACGCAGGATACGGTGGCAACGCCTCCCCCAGGTGATGCACCTCCTTCCCCGGTCGTCTGGCCTTAAATTCCCCCGTAACGGGAATCCTAAATAGAACCCCTCAGTGGGCTGTTGAAGCTGCTTTCAGAATGTTCTTAAATGTGTAAGATACGTACACAGATGACAAGGAATACCAATTACAGTCATATACAACCACCAGTACACCTGGAAACGTACTTGTGCCGTGTGAGCTTCCTTGCAAACCCATTTAATAACAAGATTCAACAATAAGTCTACTAACTACTGTAACTTCACAGTAGTGATGAGTGCAAATGGCATGTTAAGAAATCTGTAACCACTGAGGTGTCACATGAAAACACCTGCGATTTCTATCGGTGGCAGAGCCAGAGGTGCTGCTACTAGCACTGGCGCTTTTTGCCTAATTAAAAGAAACACTAAATTTTAGATGGAGAGGCTAGTTAAAAAATACTGATTTCTAATGGAAGGAAGTACTAAATTTTAGATTAAAAGGTTAGTAAATATGGAGCTGTCGTTTTCTTCCCACCCAAGTTGAGGGGCCGTGGATGAAGAATTCCTATTTACGGAGATGGGCTAGTGGGCGCTTAATGAAAAGGGTTCCGGGGTCTCACGCCCTCGGGCCACGTAGCCTCCCAAACTCAGCACCGTAGGAAACACCCCGGGCAGATGTGGGTAGGCAGAGGAATGATCCCAAGAGGGTTCTGCCTGGCTCCACTTCCAGACTCGGTCCCGGGGGTTAGAACTGGACTGCGGTAACTTTGTGACCTCCGGCCCACCTCCCCAGGCCCGCCGGGGCCGCCCTGCCCCTCACCCGAGCTGGGGCAGGGCTCCAGGTTGCAAGAGCGGTACTTGACCCTCACTCCCTCGCAGTACTTGCCGCCGTTGGCGGGGGCAGGGTTGCTGCACTGCCTCCGGGCCAGCTGCACGCCCCCTCCGCAGGTGCGGGAGCAGGGGCCGTAGGGCTCCCACCTGGCCCAGGAGCCATCCACCTGTAAAGAAGAGTCTGTTACACCCCTGCGGGGGTCAGGGACCACAGGGGAGCTACATGGGACAGCCTCCGCCACCCCATCCCACCAGAACGAAACCCACTCTGTGTCACGGGGGGAAATGACCAGCGGATGACCCTGCGCCCGGGCGCACACAGCACTTCAACCTGCTGATTAGCAGATGCCCGCTGCTCCCAGGTATGCCCGAGGCCGCTCAGAGGACTGGCCTCTGGGCTGTGGAGTCAGGCGGGCAAATCCCACCAAAGCCTCTGCCCTCGCCACGCAGGCGGTCTTGAGCAAGGGGTGATGATCCCTTAACTTTCAGGTGCTTCGCCTGCAAAAACGGGGTCGGCAACACTTCCGTGTAAGGTCGTTAAACAGTGCAACGTGTGTGATGCATCCTAGTGCCGTGCAGTTCGAGGTTTCTCCGTATCGACTGTTCCTGTGCCTACGAGGGTCCCTGCAGCTAAAGGGGGGCCGGCCCCAGCCCAGCCGGGGAACCGTGTCGCCACAGGCATCTGAGCACTTTCGTTTGTAAGGTTTCTGTAACTCAGACTTTTCACCAAACCAGACTGGTGTCCACCTCAATGCGGGGCTGAATTTGAGAAAATTCACTGCAAGCACATCTAACGTTTGTACAAAGGGGGGATAAAGACAGCAGCTATCAAGCAATCCTAAAACTCTGTTTGGCTTTGGGGTGAATTATGCAGTGTTGTTCTCTTTTTCAAAAAGGTGGAGAGGGGATCGAAAATTTACAGTCTTCATTATGTTTTTCTTAGGCTGACAGTAAAGTGAGTTTTCACCCCCGAGTACACAGAAGTTGGGCAGCCGAGGAAGCAGCCCGGCTGAGCAAGACTGGCATGGAAGTGCCGAGTCCAGAGCCACCGACCCGCATGGAGCCAGTCGGGAACCGGCTGCATGTGAGAGAAGTACTTTAACTTAGGTAGCTACTCGGCACGCTTATCATAGCTGTCCTCTGTCAGACAGTTCTTGTTTCGTTGTGTCAGCACATCTGTTTCATCCTGTAAAGGAACACTTCCTTTAACCCTGCTTTCTCCTCTAACTAGAGCCCCCCTGCTTCCGTCCCCTCCCCTCCTGACAGTCACCGCACTTGCTCTTTCTACCTCCTCCCTCCTCGGCTCTGCCCATCGAACCATGGGAGCCACCCTCTCAAAGGTCAGCAGTGACCCCCTCAAGGCCGAAAGTGTCAATATTTAACTTTGCTCCTGTGGCTTCTGAGATGATGCTGTTTTTTTTTTTTTAACCTGGCATCACTTCTTCCTCCCATTCCTACAAGAAACACTTCTGCCTCCTGCCATTCAATCTGTCATTCACCAAGTATTTGTTGAATTCCTCCTACATGCCTGGCACCATGTGCAGCAAATCCCTGCCCTCAAAGCAACTGCATCTTAACACGCAACGCACACCCGTCTGTGTTTTATTTTACAGTCACTTTTCCAGCATCTCCGCTAGACTGTGAGGCCCCTCTGACGTGGCCCATGTTTTTTTTTGCTTTTCTGACCAATGAAGTATCTTACTCAGATCCCTGAATACAGTGGCTTGTTGCTTAATAAATGAACAAAGCTTTAGTTAAATATATATTCCCAGAACACAGATTATATATAATTCTGGACCACACCCATCTCAGGGCAACTGATAAAGTCCTCGTGAAGGCTCTTTTATCATATGACCTCTGTGTGCATAAAACCCCAAGGCAAGCCTTCCTGTGGCCAGGGCGGGGGCAGGAGAGGGGCGATGGCCACCAGGGTCAAGGGAGAGGACGGACCTCTTGTTTTTATCTGGAAAAGTCCAAATCCCTTTGCGACCCCAGCCCAAGACCTGGAGAACACAATGTCTATAATGTGCTCAGAGAATAGCTGGGGTTCTGAATTCGCTTGGGTCTAGTTGCTGTTCCTATTTATCAGGAAAAAAATAACTTCTGTTCCTTTAGTTCCAACTTCAAAAGCCACAACAGAAACTGAAGCCTGGTTCGGGCTGTAACAAATCCCGCGGTTCTGAGCCTGGCTCACCTCGGGCCCTCAGCAGCCGACGCGGGCAGAGAGGAAGGAGCCCCGAGTGAGCCAGTCAGAGCTGGGGAGGAGGGGCTGCGGCTCAGGGCCTGGCGGTTGCCCCTGCAGAAGGCTCCCCACCTGCCCGAGGCTTCAGCTGGTTCTCTGACCAGCCATGACTTTTCCATCTGGTTTTAGAGTCAAGAAGGGGACAGGACCACAGCCAGGGAAACCGAGGCACAGTTGGGGTCACACAGCACGTGTGCCGGGGCGGATCCCCGGCAGAGGGCCCGAAGTCTTCCCCCCAGCAGCCCCTCCCCGCGCCGCTGCAGCTCACTCACCCTGTACCTGTGAAGGTCATGCCTCTCCACACAGGCCCCCTTGAGGCAGAACTTGCCCTCGCCACAGCCGGTGCCGTCTGCCCAGGGGAAGTGGCGGGTCTGGCACACCATCTGGCCCCGGGCCTTGCCGGTGCACCACAGCTTGGCGCAGTACTGCATGTAGGGACAGGGCTTGGAGCCCACGCCGAAGGCCAGCTCGCACTGCTGGCTCAGGGTGTAGCTGGCGCCCGGCAGGTCCTCGGGCAGTGCGATGGGCTTGCTGGGCTGGTCCAGGAGGCAGTCGCCTGCAGGGAGCCGAGGGCATTCATTAGGGAGGAGCCTGGAAGGGTGGGGCGTGGCCAGCACCGGGGCTCCAGGCAGGGAGAGAATGGAGCAAGGGCCACGGGATGGACCAAGGCGTCAGAGCCTGACTCCTCGGGCCATGCATGCCGGAGGTGACAGGACAGACAGGTCCAGAGAGGGCGGGCCCACCTCCTCTGACGCCCGGCTTACCGTGCCCGCTGTCCAGGAAGTCGGTGATGATGGCCGCACTGCAGGCCGACCAGGGGTTGGCACGGTCGATCTGGATGAGCGTTGGGGACATCATGTGGTTGGCTCGGAGCTTCCCAAACACCTCCTCGCACACTTTCACATTGTCATGGGGCATGTTGAACACGTGGCCTGAGGGAGAGGCAAAAGGACTCAGTGGGCAGAAGAACGTGGGCTACAGGTGAGAAGGCGTGAGGGGTGGGGGCACCAGGTGGGGGTGCGGGAGAGCCCGTGTCAGTGGTTTTCAGGTGGGTCATTGCTGCCTGAGGGTAGATCGCTTTGCAAATGTTGAGAGCCTGTTCTTGATGTTCCCTCCCATCCACCAGGCTTGGGCTCAGTGAGGACAGCAGAGCACGTAACATAGGCTAACTAATGAGACCCTCAGACAGCGATGGACTCGGACAGCATCACTGGTCAACTGGGCTCGGGCAACTGGGAGAAAATAAGCCCTTGCTAAGGCAGACTCTGGCCCTAAGAAAGGACCCCAAAGGCTTCAGGGCATGAGGGAGCTAAGACAAACGCCGAACCCCGGCCTGAACGCCCAGGCAAATCCGGACGGCCCCCAGGAGGGCCCTCCTGCCTCACCCAGCTCATGGGCGGTGGTGAAGGCCGAGGGGAGACCGTCGTCCTCGATCACTGAACAGCTTCTCTTGGGGTCGCACATGGTGCCCACGTCAGCCATGCCCAGCGTGTCACAGGTGGTGGCCCCACACAGGTCCTGCCGAGGCGGGGAGAGGCAGAAGGCAGCCAGGAGTCAGGGACAGTGACAGAAGGGACCAGAAGGGAAGGCAGGACATCTGACTGGACGGTCCACTTGCCCCACTCCGAGCTCACCCAGGCTAGCACCCCCCGGCCAGGCCCTCCTCCCAAGAGCCATGGGGCTATTGTTGGTGAGCGCAGGCAGAGGGAGCAGCCCTCAGGAAGAAAGCTCTGCGGCTCGCTGAGCAGACTCTGCCCAAACCCTACCCAGGGAGGCAAATTAGGGAGGTACGACATTAAACTGGAAGGACACCACGTTGCACAGAGGCAGCCTGGCGGCCTGGCAGCCCTGAAAAGGGCGACTCCCCAGCTGGGTGAGGTTCCGGCCGTGGCTGGGCAGGCGGGGGTGGAAGGCCAGCACAATCCTGTCCACCGTCGGCTCTGGGAGCCTCGGTCCCTGTTGGGTGACTGCCTTTGGACAACCATGAATTAAGGCTGGGTTCTCCGCCAAAGGGTCTCTGGCCAAGGGCCCACCCTGCCCAAGGCCTGGCTTCTGTGGGCTGGGAGAGGGCAGAGCAAGGCAGACACAAGCCCCGATCCAGACCCAGCTCCACTGGCCGCAGACACTCAGGGGGCCACGGGCTTGACGGCTGCTGCGAAGAAGATACGTTAAATGGGTTGTGACCTAAGTAAGAAGGCCCATCTTTGTATTGAAACACCATAGCGGGGCCAGGGCCTCCAGCAGCCCAGATGTGACACACTTCGAGGATGCAGAAGGGACACGGGGCTCCAGGGCGGCCATCTCACAGGACCCGCTGAGCGTTACAGGCTAGCAACGCGCCCGGCACCTTAAGTGCCCGGGAGCTGGCAAGAGGAAAAGACACCGGGACACATTCTGCTCCTCCTGAGAAGACACTTTGAATGGGTGACGCTGACATCCTCTCCGTCACATCCCCGCCTTTAATGGGGAGGCTGTTTGACAGCCTGAGGCTGACCTGCAGCATCCCCCGTAGTCCCCGCCACAGTCTGAGGCGGCTCGGGCGTGATCACACCCACTGGTCAAGGGTGCGGGCTGAGACCACGATCACAGCCGATCACGGTGCTGCCTCAATGAGCGCTGACGCTGGCCCGTACCTGACACACAGGGCCCGGTTTAGCCCTCCAACACCCCACTGGAAGAATGACTGTTATCATCACCCTCCCTGGACTTCTCTGAAGTTCAAAGGAGCTCGAGTCCCAGAGCAGAAACGTGCACTCGGGGCCTGAGGACCAGACACTCGCGCTCCTTCCACCTTGTCCCAGCTGATCACCCAGCAGCTCCCAAGTTCACGCTCAGGAGAAAGTGCTGGCGTGGTCTCCCGGGGAGCCCAGGCGTTCACACAGCACGCACACAGGGCGTCCTCAGCCGTGTGCCTCTTCAGGGCTGTGTGCATGCGTGTGCGTGTATGTGTGTGCGCGTGCATGCTGACGTGGGGAAATGGTGGGCAGCCAGCACGTGTTAGTGGGGCCAGGGGACAGAGGAGGAAACGTGGTCATAGTACAGAAACTCGGCAAAATTTAATCCAGAGCACTCGGAAGTTTACCACCTGAGCAGTCACACTTGCCTTCCCACGGTCAGGTGACAGTCACACCTCTTAATGAGTTAACAGTGATTCTGGCCAGAGAACCACCCGGGGGGCGATCAGGCTGAACCAGAGGGCACTGAAGTCACTGGCGGGTGAAAGATTGTCCCCAGCTCACCCACAGCACCTCTGCCGCTTCTAGGAACCCCCAGATGGACCTCCAGTTCCTGTCTCTTCTGAGCACCCTTCCCTCTCCGAAGTCCCAGGCCCCGGAAAGCCCTCCTTCCCGGGGTTCTGCAACCAGAAAACTACGGTCAGATCGCAGGAGGCAGGCTCACCCAACCCACAGTTCAGGGAACATGGCCGCTGAGGAAAGGCTGGGTGGATGAGGGGGCTGGGAAGGGAGGGGAGGGCCACGGTGAGGGTGGAAGGGAAGCGGAAGGCTCGTGCAGGGGCAGAGGGAGAGGGTACCAGAGTACAGGACCCCCCAAAGGTGGGCACCCCTGAAAGTTCCAGCCTGGAGGTCCCAGCCCGCAGGACAAGCGTGTCAGCGTCCCCGGGGCCACATATACACTCACCACTGGCCTGGTGTAGGAGGGAGGGCACAGCCACAAGCACCGAGGAGCTGAGTCTGGTGCTGGCCCATCACTTCGCAGGGATGTCACTTCAGGAGGTCACTCCTGTCCTCAGGGCCATCTCCCAGCTAGGACCCAGATGGTCCCAAGGCCCTAAGCCTCTGCTCCTTCGGGACCCCAGGGTGTTCAGCCCCTCAGGCCCCTAGGTTACAAAGGGAACACCCAGGACAGTCTGCTTTAGAATGGAAAGACCCCTAATGGCGACCTCGTCTGCTGACCCACGTGGTGTAGTCAGTAAAACACTCACAGAGACGTGAAGTCACCCATGCGGAAATTCAGAGCCCCATCCCCTGCCCTGCTCAGAGCTCAGGCGGAGGTCGGGGCCTGCTTCTGCGGCCGGGAGGTCCTTAAACCCAAAGCCTCCTTCCTCTCGGGGTGGGTGGATTCTCTCTGAAGCAGACATGCAGCTGCAGGCCCTTCCTGGCCAGGAGCAACCTGTTCTTTCCATCAAGAGATCCCAGTTTCCCTGGATCAAACAAGAGGAAGAAAGAGAGAGCCAGCGAACTTCCTGAGGGTCGGGGTGGCTGAGAGCAGCGGTCCTGCAGTGGCCGGCTTGGCTCTGCGGGAAGACGCAGCTGCCTGGGCTCGGGGGCTCTGCCCGGCCCTCTGCCCCCAGCCAGGGCTCGGGTGGGGACTTACTGGGCCTCTGCGCTTTGACCGCCTACGGGCGGCCGCGCCAGCCCAGCCAGGCCTCCTTCACAGCCCTTCTGGAAGGAACTCAGATGCACTCCAGTCGCCTCAACCTCTCCCGCTCTGGCACTTGTCTCCAGAAATGGAAACTGTTCTGGCTCCTTCCACCTGGAGGGCGCAGGCCCGGCCCGGCCCCCACCTGCCTCACTGTTTCTGGTGACTGGCCATTTCTTCTTAGAGCTGCAACCGCTCTTCCAAGTGACCCAAGAATCATCCTGGCCAAGAAGCTAATCCTCCTGGATGATTCTTTTCTAAGCGTCTCTTTTTATAACATAATTGGAGCCATGGCTTAAAAACAAACAAACAAACAAGGATAGCACCTTGCAGCAGCCCAAGCCACGTTCACCAACACTGCCCCCCACACACCCACCCCCCCCAACTGCCTTCCCTGCAGCCCCCACCTCCTCCTCTCACTCCCCCACCACATACCAAGATGCTTGCGTGTTCCGGCAGTGTGAAGAGAGGGAGACCCAGAGAAATCAAGCACGCTCTTTTTTTTAACGTGGCAGAAGAGACACGTTCTGGTGTGACCACCTCCTGTGCACATGAACTCCTAGGCAAGTGAGCCAGTGCACAGGTCCACGGCCACATCTCTGCATCCAAGTGTACCACTCACGAAACTTACCCGTCCTCTCATCCTGCAGGTGAGGAAACGGAGGCTCAGGAGCTGAGCTCACTCACCCAGGGCCATGCCACTACGGAGTGAAGAATGGGGTCTGAATCACACCACATGAGTTAGGGTGGTAACTGCTGGTGCAATCGCCCTGCGCGGGCATTAACACGGCCCTTTCAGACCGCTTCTCATCTGGATCTCTGTCATGCGCCACTGGATTTCCTCACCCAACCCCAAATCCACTTCTGCCTGTAATCCCCAAGGATGGGAGGGCCTTGCCTTGCTAGAAAGAAAGAAAAAAAAACCTACCAATTCAGTGCCCGGGCTGCGAGAGTCAGGATGCCCGGGGAGAGGAGGCTGACGTGCCCTGAGGGCTTCTATCAGCAGAATCTAAATCCCTCAAGATGCACAAAGTGGCATTGCAGCAGGAGATGGGGGAAACCAGACAACGAGAATGACCTCGGTGACAAAGGAGAGGAGCCAAAGCTTGCAGGAAGACCAGACTTTCTCCAGAAGCCACCACTTCGAGGAAGGGTGCACGCCGAGTCCAACGGCAGCTGACGCCGATTGAGTGCCCGATGCCCCTCCGACAGCCTCGCCTGTCCTCACTCACGGAATCCGCACGACGGCTTTATGAAGGAGATGCCACTACTAGTCCCATTCTGAGGATGAGTAAGCGGCCCAGCCCAAGGTTAGACGGGGAGGGGCAGAGTGAAGGCTGAGTCCAGGCAGGGCAGCCTCAGAGCCGGGCCCTTCCTACAACTGCATGCTGCTTCTGGGGCACGTGAATCCCAAGGATGCAGGGGTTAGGGAGCTCCAGAGGGCAAGGTCGTCCACCTCAGACCCCCTGTCCCCAGACAGCAGGCTGGTCACCAAGTGGAGAGAGGCCAGGGGAGGCCCGGGGCAAGGGGAACGGCAGGACGAAGGGCCTCGAGGGCTCCGGGAGTGATGTCTGCGCTTCCCTGCTGCACTGGCTCCTTGTCCCACAGCTGCCCTGACACACTGACCCGTCCCTGCTGGGCACCTGTCTGCCGGCTCCTCACTGGGCCCTCCTTCCTCTGGGCAAAACATGATGGCAAAGAGCCAAGATGAAATGCCAAAGAACCTGAGACTCCTTCTCCCTACCCTGCAGCCTGACAGCCTTGAAAGTGGGACTAACAATCCCTGGGAAGGGAGGCGAGCGACCTGAGCACCCAGAGCTCTGCAGTCCTTCCACCACTGCTACGGCACCTCCTGCCCGGGAGCACACTGAACCGCCAGGCGTCCACCGGCCAGTCCGAGGGGCTACAGAGGTATAGGGACGTCCTGCCGGAAGCAGTTTACAGATCAGCGCAATGGGAACTGCGGAGTCCACAGCTTCCACACTAAACAGGACGTGCCAGGCATACGTGCAGGGGAGCGGGACAGAATGTGCCGAATCCAGACCACCCCCAACCCAAGATCTGGCCAGGGACACATCGGGGATCACTGGGCAACAGCAGACACACTGAGGTGGGAATGGTCACAGCTGCCCTCAGCACCGATTTGGGAACACTCAGGAACTCGTCCACCAACAGCCCTTCCTCATCGTCACCCTCATTTTATGGACGAGTAAAGGGAAGTGCAAACAGCTCATCCATTTAACGTCATTGCTAAAAGGGCAAATGCCAGGACCCCAGCTTAGCTCTGCTGACTCCAAGCCCGTGTTCTTTCCACTGTGTCACGCGACCCGGGCAAGGTGTCACGGCCAGGTGAGCATGGGTGCCGCACGGCGCGAACAACAGCTACAACGCTTTCAAGGGCAGGGGAAGGGCAGGGCCTGCGGAGCAACAGGTTTCGCTGGCCATCCTGACTAACCAGCGCTTGAAAAAAGGAAGAAAAGACCGCAGGGCACACTCGTCTCTCCAAACTTCCTCCCCTCCCTCCAGCATCACTATTGGCTTCCTTCTGTGCTGTAAGACAAGGGGGCGGAAGAATAATCACCATGCAGGCCAGGGAGCAATCACCTCCCTTCCTTCCTCTCTCGCCCCCAACCCTTTCCCAGAGGAGTGGCGTTGAGTTTCCACTCAGTGATAAAGATTTACCAACTATTAAATACCAAGTCCACAGCTGTCTTTCTCCACTAACGTCTTCCAAGGCCTGACTTCCAAAGAAAGACTGACAAAATCAGGCTACTCTTTATTGTGTGGGGAGATGTGTATAAAATAATTACCATTTTTTTATCAGCACTTTTTTTCGTCTGAACACCAAATTTCACTGCCATACCACAACTAGTTTATCATGGAAAGAATTGGCCTCTACTTCAAGTGAGGATCCAGAATGCTGATCCAGTCTGCACACTATGGAACACGTACATGTCCCCACAAAACCCAAGGCCAGAACGGGAAGCCAAAGCGCCAAGCTTGGGACGTGAGGGGCGGAAAGGTGCGAGCACGAACGAGGAGAGGACGAGAGGAGAATGCCGACAAGCCCGCCGCCTCAACGGTCCCACAAGAGGAAGGCGGGGGTGCGGGGGAAATCGGGGCAGCACACACAGTTCTCAGTGCGACGGGAAATGTAGATAAATGAGGCACAAGCAGGCAAAACCCCACGAACTGCGAATCCTGAAAACAGTCAGCCCCAAGGAGGGAACGTCACATAGAGCAAAACGGAGGGTGGACTGGAGGAGCGGGCCTCCTACCAGGAAGAGAACAGGCCTCCTTTCTCATCACCACCAGTTCCTTTCTTCCTGCCCGTCCTTCGTCCTTTCATCCTTTGAGTGTCTGTCCCTTGTCCTCGGCTCCCAGACTCCAGGACTGAAGAGCGTGACCCCCACTGGGCTTTCAACAGAGGAGCCTCCCCCGGGCATTTACACACCACATTGCAATGGGTTATTTCCTTGTCAGGGTCCCTGACACGCAGCGAATTCCTGGAGGCCAGAGGCCACAGCTTAGTATCTGTATCTCCACAGCCCAGGACGGTACTGGAAGCAGCAGAGGCTCAACAAGTAGTAAAAGAATGTGCAGACAAATGAATGGAAGCCAGCCGGCCACAGAGCCACCCGAACAGCAGAGGTGCTGGCCCTGAAGAGAGAGATGCCTTGGGGAAGCGCAGTCCTGCTGGGTCTCAGCGTGGAGGGCCTGGCTCCCGCTGCCTGGTGTGCAGCAAGAAGTCGCAGAAACTTCTCGTAGGAATGAACGTCCACCCCGGAAGACTGGCTCTCATTCTCAGATCCTGGTTCCAGCCCTGTGTGACCTCACCCTGCTGTTACGAGGCCAGAGGCTGACTGCTTTGCAAAATCAGACGTGCACACTTCCTCCAGGAACATGGACTTGCTCTGCATCTTTAAGCAAAATTCCTCGAGTGGTCAAAATACCTGCTGTACGATCCATTTCTTCTCCTCTGCAGACAGTAAAGGGTCCTCCCTGGGTCTCATCTTCCTGGTGTTTTGATTTCCACACCCCACACCCCTCCCTCCACCTGCCAAGAGGACAGCGGGGCTCCCTGTGGCCTGGCCCAGGTTTGTTTCCACCGCTGCAGCTCGGACCTGGTCAGAGAGGGAGCTCCAGGGCCTGCTGGTCCTGGCCCCCTCCTGCTCCCCTCGGGGCACCCCTGGCACCTAGAGCTCCCTGGGAGGGAGTATCTCCGACCAAGCCCGACCCCCTCCTAATGGCACCCCCCCCATGAAAACCACAACTGGAATGTGATCAGAAAGGGGTCCTCGCCATTTTTCCAGTTTCTCTGGGGGAACAGGTGACTCTAGAAGTGTCCATCAGTCCAAGGTCCCTTACAGACAAAAGGTAATTTGCCAAAAAAGCACATTTCTAAAAATGTCTTATCCAGACACATTATATATTTTTAATTCAAATTTTCATATCTTTTTCGTATTTCATATTTCATATTTTAAGTTCAAATTTTAGTTTGAAAAAGCATTGGTGAAACCACCATCATAATAAATGGGGTTTAAGCAGAGACGCTCACGCATCCGATTTAAAGGATTACTACCAACCCTTACAACGTAAAACAAAAGTCCCTTTTGTGTGGGGGTACAGCAGGATCTCCTGCCCTGGGCACCCAGAGACCACATTGGCCTTCTTCTAGAAGGAGCAGCTGCGTGCTGGTGTTCTCACCCCCTCCTGCACCTTCCCTAGGCGGTTCGGGAATGAGCCACTCCTGAGACTCTGAGAATGCGGCAGGCCCTGAAGTCTTTGCTGGCAAGGACGCAGGGGGACATGTTCACTCTAAAGCGTCAAGCACATACCTGGGTGACAGGCCTGCCGGCGCGGCTCCCCGCTCTCTTGCTCTGCCCTCTCGACGCCTGAGGGATACGCAGCTGCTAAGGCTCACATCTTGCACATCACTGCTTCCAGCCCAAGTGGCCATACATCTTGTACCCATTATGCATGGTCAACACAGCCCCCTGGGGCCGAGCACACACCACTGACAAACAGAAGCTGTCACGCTGTTCGACTGCTTCTTCTCCCAAAGGCGGATCCTTCTGATGGTGTAGCCCATATTCCCAGCAGGAATCTTCTTCCAGGGGCTGGTTCCAAAGGTCAGCCCAGCCACTAGGCAGCGGGGACAGAGGCCTTTCACTCTAGACCAGTGAGTGACCGCCACAGGAGCATCGCCGGTAGCAGATGGGGCAACAGCTGCTTTGCCCATTAAGAGATCCTGTTCTCGGCCTTCGCTTTTCCCCCCAGCCATCTGACTGCCGAGCTGGTCTGTGTGCGGAGGTCGAAGCCACCTCCTCTTCCTCGTGACTCAGGCAGTGCTTGTAGGGGCTGGGCAGGGCAGCTCTACAGAGCTCATTTGGAAGAGTGAGCGCAAAGAAATGGACTCAGGCCAGAGCCCTCCCCAGAGGAACCAGGTGGTAGGAGGAGAAGGCTGGGAAAGGAGGAAGTTCAGCTCCAGGAAGGGACCAGCTGTGCCAAATGGGTTGTTGTGGAGACTCCAGCTCCAGCCCCGGGCGCTCCAGTCCATCAGGATACGGTGGAGTGTCGGGGCCCCACAGGTAACCAAGGGTGCAGTGGCATCCCCCGAATGCCATGGTTATGATGTGAGCAAAAGAAGAGCCTGGCACAGATTCAAGTCACAGCCCCCAAAATCAGAGGAAGCCGGTCACAGGGATACCCCTTTCCTCCCAGTCTCCTGTAAGCTGAGAAATTTCAAGAATCCAAAAACACAGAACCCGATCACGCCACCATCTATGAATCTAAATTTTCAGTAAATCCACAGCAAAAGGCAGAGCTGCTTTTCTGATCTGCTTTTGGGACCTAATCCCAAGATTCAGTATCTTTCCAACCCTTCAGCTGGGATCCAAGCTCACACCACTTGCACACGGCCAGGGGCAGAAGCCAGAGTCCTGCCGTCAAGCGTGGTCATGCGAAGTGTCAGTGAGCCTGGATCAGGAGCAGCCTGGCCTGCTTTGGCCTGCAGCATGCATCAGGGCAAACAGGTCAACCTCAGCCCACAGGGATACGGGAAAACTGAGAGATGTTCTCTACTCAGCTCCAAGTGAAGCTCCACTTCAAATTCCAAGCTCCAAACAGGTACTCTAACTAGTTTGCCTGCTCTGAGTGGACCTGAAGCCCCTCACAAAGGAAGCATGCCCAGCACAGCGGGTGCAGGAGAAGCAGCGAGGAAGAAGGGAGTACTCCCTGTACTTGAGCCCACAAAAAAATCCCAAATGAGTTCCTTCATCCCAATCCAGGTTTCCCAGGCCCAGGACAGAGGATGACAACATGTCACCCATGAGGAAAGTAGCAGGCGCTGAACTTCCATTCCCACAAGCAGAAAGAGGAAGCCTGGGAAGGAGGTGTCTGAAAGGACTGAGACGCCCCCTTACAGTAGGGGCGGACCTCCCCAACACCATCCTCAGAGCGCCTCCTCTCTGCCTTGGAGACAAACTGCAGCTCCGGGGCGGCAACCTCCTGGGTTCCGGCCCCTCCGCGCCCGATCCAGGAGGCGCTCATTGGCCGCGCCAAGCCAACACCTTCCGAAGGAGCAAGGCGTTCCGCTGACCGCCCACGTGCGTCCGGCTGCCCGCGAGCCAGAGCTCCGCCGAGCCCAGGCGCAGGCTCTCCCCGGAAGATCCAAAGTGGCAGTCGGAAGAGATCAACGAAATTTAAACTCAGGGGCACTGCGCGACACAAAGGGCATTTGAAGAGCTAAGGGCGGTGACCTCAAGAAAATGGGGGCCATCTGGTCCAAAGAAGCGACAGATCAACTCACCTGCCTGGTAAAGAGGATGGCGGTGTCCCAGTATTCAGGGTGCTTGTCACTCACTTTGTTCAGCTTCTTCTGCCACGCACAGAAGTTACGCAGCGTCAAGGCGGCGTTGCCCGTGACCTTGGGCCCCGTGTCGCGGTCTCCGAGAAGTAGCACCTTGACCACGACGATGCTGATGGGGTTGAGGATGCTGGGATGGCGGTAGAGTCGCGCCGCGGTGGCCAGCAGCGTCAGCAGATAATGCTCCAAGTCCGCGCCGTGGAACTTGACCATCGACTCGTCCGCCACCACCAGCGTCTCCACATACCGCGGGATAGACACGAACCGCTTGGCGCGCCCGGACCTGCGGTGGCTGCGACCCTCCCCTAAACTGTTCCGCCGAGGCTTGTAAGGGTCCAGGGCCCTCAGAATGTCGGGGTTCCAGCCTGAGGCCACCCCGCAGCGAGAGGTGGGATCTCCGGGAGGCCCGCCGGGGGTGCCCCGGCGCTGGAGGAGGTGTGCGCCCTGGCTGTTGCGCTGCGCCGCCGGCGCACTGGCGTTGGGCAGCGGGCTAATGACATACTCGGCGCCTTGGTAGCCGAAGGCTCCGCGTAGCCCCCCGCACAAGCTCACAGCGGCGAATGAGTCTGGCTCGGAGTTCACGTCCCCAGAGTAGAAGCAACGTCGCAAGTCCGGAGAGCTCTCGATGAGACCCTGGAGGGGGACGCCCAGATGCTCAGTGGCGAAGGCGGGCGCCAGGAACTGAGCATCCGGTGTCAGGTGAAGGTAAAAGTCCTCCTGAAATGCTGTGATCTGAAAAATAAGTCCCTGATCCTCGGAGTCCTCAGGACCCCGCCAGTAGTAGTGGCGGCCGTTGATGTCTGGGTCCAGTCGGATGGGGACCACCACCTCCTGCTCTGGCTCTGAGCCGCCAGCGAGTGCCCCGGAGAGAGTCAGCGTTAAGATGCCCAGCAGAAGCATGGCGCCGGGCAGCGCACAGCCGCGCTCTCGGAAAGGCTCGGCCCGGCTGCCGGGCCGCCGGCACGGTCTCTTTGCAGCCCGCACACAGGAACGACCGACGCCCCGGGGCCGCCCGCAGCTTCCAGAAAGGAAAGCCAAGGTTAAGAAATTCCTCCCAGAGCAGTGAATGTGCACCCGGCGGCCCGCGCCTCCTACCTGTGCCTTTCCAAGCAAAGCGCGCCCCAGGAGCTTAAGTACAACCGCTGTCAAGTGCAAGGACGAAGATTTGGAGCCGCGAACTAGAGGGAGGTGCCGGGCCGCTGCTCCGAACCGCAGCCACTCTCAGAGCCGCAAAGCAGGCGCTGGGCGAGCCTATTAAAGGCCCCCTCCTCTTTGGACTGCCCAGTCAGCGCCCTGCCTCCCTCCCTCCCCTCCCAGCCTCCCAAAGCTTGCAGCCCCGAGCCTCCTGGGGCCACGAATAAGTCGGTCCCGCCTCCCGAGCGGAGAGCCACTTGGCGGGGAGGGAGTGGCGTTTGAGCTGAGGCAGGAGGCGTGGGCTGGCCAGAGAAATCAGCGCTGGGAGTCTCGTCTGCGGTCTGCCTTCACTCTGCGCCCCAGAGCCCGACACTTCCGTCCGGACCGACATCTGTCCGCTCCCTGGGGCTTAACCTTTATCTCAAGGTAGTTGGGGTCGGGAGTTGGATATGAAGACCCACTGCTGACCTCGTCTCCGAGACCCACCTCATCCCTCCCCTTGCAACATCCCTGCTGTTTCTTCATCAGTATCCCTGGAAATGTGCTACTGCTGCCAGAAGGGCGAATGCCCAGGCACGTGGAGACCCCTTCTGGAACCCAGGGCCGCTGGGACCCAGTGGTATGCTGGATGGACTGGAGCAGGTGCTTAATTTTCAAGAACTTTGCCAGTCAGCTATTAAACACAGTCATTACTAAACTTTTAATTATGTGAACTTATAAATTATGTTTAATAACAACCCTCATCACTTCGTAATTATTCGAACACAATTACCTGTGCTCTTGAGCCTCAGGAGCCAGCAACCCTCCAGGACAGCGCCCAGCTCCCGGGGAGAAGGGCAGAGGGTGGGGGTTCCATGACAGGATTGAGTGACCAGCCATTATGCATCCCCACCACGGGGGCGTCACAACGGGAGCTCCCACCAGGTCCCAGTGGGAGTGTGTACACCACTCGGGGCTGGAGGGAGAGCACACACCAGTGCCTAGGGGGATGTGGAGAAAGAGGGGGTCTTCCTGCCAGGGAGGGGCTGAGCAACCAGTGGAGAGTAGAAAAATCATCAAGAAACAGTTACTTCTCCCTGACTTTCTCTCATTTGATCCTTGACCAAGGGTCGTGGAGGACAATGGAGTAGGAGGGTGAGAATGCAGCGGGGGCAGGGGCGGGGGGATGACGTCAGGCCATGAGTTCGTGTTTCGTGTGAGGGGGGTCTAAGGGGCCCTGTTTCAGGCTCCAGGCCTCGAAGTCCTTCCTCTCTCTCCGCAAAATCAACTTTTTTCTTCTGATGAGGAAGAAGGGCAAGTAGAGGAAGGAAGGCTTTCCTGGACTCTCCTGATACCTAGAAAATCTTTCCAGGACCAGAGGGCTCTGAGCTGAGTTTGCAAGAGGAGGAGCAGGAGGGGAGCGCCTGTGTTGACTTGAAGCCCAGGAAGGGTGAGCAGAAGAACTTTGGAATTTTTTTTAGGAAAGTGGCTGCTCGAGTAGCTATTGAACAGGAGAGACAGCTGGGGCTGGTCCATTGAGGAGGACTTTTTGCCCATCATCCTCTCCCCGTAACGGATGGAGGCTGGAGGAGCCCCCTGGGGCCTTGGAACGGAAGAGGGCTCAGATGCCCGATCCTCCTGGGCCCCTTGTCAACTGAGAGGCACGGGGCTGAGACTCATTATGTGAATGAGTAAGAGGTGGTGTTTATGCTCTGCAAATGAAGGGGAGAGCGTGCCTATGGAGGACTGTGAGAGAGGGAGAGAGAAGGGCCACGTTTGCAAAGGTCTTCTGTGCTTGTGTGCTTAAAGAGGGCCTGTAATTAAAGACAGCCAAGGCCCATCGTAAGTCACTTATTTAGGGCAACCTCCTGGTTCCCCACACCCAGCAGTTTTCCTGGTGAGTTACAAGGCTTCCGACATTTTACTTTCACTGTGATCCACGGAAGTTGTAGGGTCTGTGGTGTGTCACTCAAGACCGCAGGCCCAGGGGGGAGGCCCCACCCCACCAGCCTGCCTTGCTTCCCCTCCCCCACCACCCCCAACGGGTCTCATCCCTGAGCACATGTGACTTTCTCAAAGGAACCAGCAGGCACCGAGCTCTGTCTGTGCTGAGCCCCACCCTGAAGAGTTTTCTGTGTGGTACCTTGTTAAACACGCATCTCCACTCCTGGGAAGCTGCCACTCTGTCCCATCATGTTTGCCAGGGGTCCCTAAGCAGGAATTGAGGCTCTGGGGATGTGCTGAGCTACAGGACACAGAACTTGAGTAGAAGCTGGGGGAACTCAGCCTGGACACTCCATTCCGATCACTGATCTGATTCCCAACTCTGCATTTTCTCATCTGTGAAAAGAAGAGGGGTTATCTTCCATCAGAGGTCTTCAGTCAGCAGACTGCACTGGAAATCTCCGGTGGAGATAAGATCTAAGGCCACTTCCAAGTCAACACTGAATGACTGCTTGTGGCCTATGAAAGGCAACATGGCATGGTGGTTAGGAGCCAGGCTCAGAGGACCCTGGTGCCACCTCCCCTTATTTGTGTCATCTTGGTTAAGTTCTTGTACCTCCTTAAGCCTCTGCTTCTTCATTATTAAAATTAGCATAATAATACTACCCACCTCCCATACCTATTATGAGGATTAAATAAGTGAGTACTTTAACAGCACTCGGAAGTGCTTGGTACATAAAAAAGTTATCAAATGTTACCTAGTAGGATGGTTAATATTTTTATGAGCTATTATTATTCATTATTATTACCACCAAGACCCTTGACCCTCCAAGATGACTGCGTCATCACCTCCCGAAGTTTCTAGTATTCCTAATGAGAAAGGAGGAAAGCTGGTAGGGCCACCTTCTCCCAGCTCTGCTCAGGATCCCCAGTGTCACTTTGGTGGCCCTGCTGCCATACCAGAACACTGCAGGTGCCACCGTCTTGCTTCTCCATGTCCTGTGGGATCTTCAGGTCTTTGGGAAATGAAAGACAACTCCTCCCCCTGGGAAAGACCGGCCTGTCGGATCTGAACCCTCCAGCTCGGCCTGTTACACCCCTCACCTATGAGGCTGACCTCTCCCTGCCCTTCTGGTCTCAGCCCAAGTGCCACCTGCTCAGGGAGGCCCTCCTCGGCCATCCAACCTAATAAGCCCAAAATTACACTTGAGTCTGTGGCTTTATTTTCCTCTGCAGCATCTACCCGTGTCTAAACCTGTTTTGTTCACTTACTTGCTCATTCACTGTCTCCCCCTTCCCGCCAGTCCCACAACTAGAATGAAGGTGGAACCCTCTGCCTCATTCGCTCCAGCCTGCCCAGTGCTTGGCAAACAGGAGCTCTCCTTAAATACTGAGTGAATGGGCCCGATTCTCATCTCAGCTTGGTCACTCACAGTGGACAAGGAATTTCTGCTCTAAAATGGGGATTCGGCTATCTCCTAGGAGAATTTGGGGTGCCCAACACACTGCTCCCACGATTATTAATTCCTTACACCTCTCTGATGGAACCTCAGCCCAGTACCCTCCTCTCCTAGTGGAGGCCACTAAGGCCCAGAGAGAGAAAGTTACTTGTCTACGGCCACCCAGAGAGTCGCTTTTCTCCTCTTATAAGCGCATTCCTCTCCACCCTTTCCGTGAAAGCCTGGCTCTACTGGCTCTAGCTACACTAATTCTCTTGGCTTCTTCTGCTCAGAAGCCAATACTTCTGCACGCCATCTCTCCCACATACAGTGCCCTATCCGCCTCATCTCTGCCTGTCTACACAATTCTCACCTTTTACAGGAAGCCACTTCACTCCACTCACACAGCTCTACACGGTCCTCTCCTCTTAGTGCCCTCAGCTTCTGTGAATTCTGTTTCTAAAAACGAATATTCAATTTGGACATGCTTGCTTTTTGCTAATTCAATGTTAAGCCCTTCTCCTGAGGCTGGGCTATGGCCACACCGGACTAGAAACTCATCAGAACTGGGGCTTCCTTTTCTTTCACAGGAGTCTCCGTGACTGTCCCCAGGGCAGGAGTTGATGGCTTGGCTGAGTCAGGTGGGCACAGAAGGTTCCAGGTAGATCAACCCAGAAGGGTGATGCACTGAGGCCGGGAGGAGGGAGTCACAGGATTCCCTAAGGAGACTTAGAATTAACTTCTTTCAGATTCTGATTATTCACCAACATCAGGACCAAGGATGACTTCTGCATCTTGTAAAATCAAGCATCCTGGAATATCTCCCCAAACAGGAGAAAAGAATGAAGGAGAAAAGAGAGCACAGGTGGGGAGGGGCGGTTAAAAGGAGGAAGAAGTCCTGTGGTCTAGGCAAGAGTTCAGTGGGTCTTCTGATTTTCAGAGTGAATGAAGTCTCCCAAGTCTTCAGATCAGGTGTTATTAAACCATTGCCTTAAATGTTAGCATTTCGATCAGAAAATAGATTTAGGAGCTTGCCATTTTTTTTATGCTGTTATGTCTCTACCGTTCTCTGGCAATGATCCAGGAACATCCCAGGAATGTGTGATCTGCTTGTCAGGGAGCCCGTGCCGCAGAGGTGGGCAGAGCAGACAGGCTCACAGAGGTGTTCGGGAAGCTTCTCGGAAGGCTCAGGGAGTGTTAAACCACAGCGCGGCACCGTCCCCTGGCTCCCACCAGTGCGGGGGCTCTTGGCTGCTCTTCCCCCAGATGTGGAGACAGCTGAAGCAGCTGGAGATTCATCTGAGGCCCCATGAATCGCAGCCCTGGGCCTGGGTCCATTCTTCCCTGCTCAGAAGAAATATTTCCCTCTATTTTCTCCCTCTCCGCCACCCACTTTGCTTCCCTCCGGGGCTGAGTATTTAGTAGAAGTCCCTCTGGTACTTAGGTCCTGTGTCTGTTCTCCCAGATGCTAGGATGTTAGAACAAAAGGTTCTGACGTGGCTTGGGGAAACTCACAGGGTAATAGTTTCCTTCTTCTTGCACCCTGAATCCCCCCTTAAACGGTCTTAGATAACAGCCACCACCATCCTAGCTCAGGCTCCCCAGTTTAGTAACTTAGTCCACAGGTTTACATACACTGGCGCAGGAGCGATACCTGGAGTGGAGATGAAGTGAGCACTAAATCTTTGACTCCTGCCTGGGGATTTAGAAAGCCACTGGTTCCTTCTGCCACGCAAGCTTCTCTCGGCTCCGCTCCCCCAATACACTCTTGCCCACCACCACCCGCGCTCAGAAGAGTAGCCTC